TCCCGCCCGAAAAGTATGTAAATTATTGATAATACATATTTATGACCCGCAGCACGTCTAAAACTGTTATTACTCGCTGAAGACATTTAGCTGTTATCTACTACATTCTCTTCTTATAGTCATCATTAGCTCATTGTTTGTTTTTTTTATGTATGAACATCGTGATAAATGAATTATCAAAAAGGTTACTACCAAGTTATTATTGCTAGGTGGAGAAACATAAGATTTATTTTTTTATTCTGTCACAAAATAAAAGTCTTGAAAAGTGCTTCTTCTTTTTCCCTTACCCAACCATATTTTCATTTCACAACTCTGAAGGTCAAAGCTATACACTGAATGTTCTTCTTATGTCAATTTATTCTTAAATGTTTCCCTAAATTATAACATTAGAGTTTCCTGTAAGTTTCTTTCTTTTTTTTAATTTGTTGTTCAAGGTTGAATTACTGTGTTATACATGAACCTTTCTACTCTATTACCTTCCATCTCTAAGGAAGCCTCTTATTTCTTCTTTCCAAAATTGTTAAGACTTACTTGCAAAATATACATCGTGGTTCGTTTTCGGATTTGTGACATTTATCTCTGAGAGAATTTTTTAACGAAAGAAACAAGTAATAATCGGATGAGGCAAGGTCTGGGGAGCACAGAGGGTGAAGAAGAACGTCCTAGTTCTAAGCCTCTTCCTAGTCTTACGGCCAAAGCAAAATAAGGCATATAATGGAAATGTATTTCAAGACGGACCTAGGGTGGAATCTCGACCTTCCCACTCTAGTAAGAATAGGCTGGTAATACATAAGTTCACTATTTTCCCCGATTATATTAATAACATTTTGCTTTTATGGATACACTGGTGGAACCAGGATTTAATTGAAGAAAAAGAGAAAATTAAATGATTTAATGGTTCTTAAAAGGAAAAAAAATGCTTTTGCAGATAAATTTCTTATATTTTTCTTGACACGTGCATAACTTTAGTAGCTGTTTATATATTATAATTCAAAAAGAGAGTGTATTGCGATTGTTTAAGTAAATAACTTAGATCACTCGCATCAAGAAATATGGAACAACGAAAAAAAATGTTATTCCCTCCCACCCCACAGTATGATCGCTAGTGAATGAATATCAGATAAAAGTCTGGGGTGCATAATCGCATTCACATATTATGACAATTAAGCATACAAATTTCGTATATTAAATATTTTTACAATGAACTATTAAAAGTTTTAATATAAATATAAAATTGCTTGGCAGAGTGCGGTATAGGGAGGCCTGGACCATTACATTCGATTTCCTTTATCATCTTTAGTTTCAATAATGTTATAACTGAAGTGTGTACATATGAATATCAACATTTTTTTTTTGTTTCCTCACTAAGGTTGGGAAGCATTGTGTTCGTGCGAGAGGTTAAAAAAAAAACTGTTGCACAAAAAAAAATGCAAATGGTGAGGAAGCTATACCGACCTTCCTTGGCAGACGTGTTTTTAAGTAGTAGATAAAAATAATGTATCATTTATATTTACAATGTATTCAGATAATTTATGATAGACGGGAATATTGCTAAATATGCTAAAGAGGGGAATAAGTTTTCTGTTTTCAATTTAAGTTTCCGGTACAAACTAGACTTAAAAATTCCGCTAAAGACAAAAGAGGACATTAATGATGCCATTGAAAAACTGACAGCATCAATAACAGACAGTATAAATAATAACACTTTCATCAATAAGTTCAACAATTCACAAAAGACTGACTTGCCACTGCAAATTCGTATCTTATTGAAGGAAAAACGCAGAGCAAGATCGAAGTGGCATAGAACCAGATATCCAACAGATAAAACTCACTATACCCAACTGACTAACAAACTAAAATCTGAAATTAAAAAATACAAAATTCAAAATTTACTAAATTTTACTGAACAACTTACACCTACCGACAAATCACTATGGACGACCACTAAAAGGCACCTGAAATTTAAAGACTGTAATCATCCACTTCTTACTGAAGCTCAAACCTGGTCCAAATCCGATGAAGAAAAATCACAAATCGTTGCTCATTACCTCTTTAAAACCTTTAATCCACACCTTGATATTCTTAACCCAAATCACCTTGAATGTATTGAAATCACCTTCAGAAATATCCGACATCATTCAAAGGTTACCTTCCCGAAAAGCTTCTGGACACGACCTAATTACATCCCAGATCCTAAAACTGCTTCCTCGGAAAGCCATCCTATTCCTTACGTATATATATAATGCTGTTCTGCGATCCACATACTTTCCTGACCCTTGGAAATTATCTATTATCAAAATGATACATAAACCCAAAAAGCCACCAGAAAACCCATCCTCCTATCGCCCTATCTCCCTTTTACCCATCCTAGGCAAAATCCTGGAAAAGCTCATCCTAAAACGCCTACACCCCATCCTAGATTCTAATCACATTATCCCAGATCATCAATTTGGATTCCGCAGATTCCATTCCACTATCCAGCAATGCCATCGTGTGGTGGATGTTGTCTCCTCTGCATTGGAGCGCGGAATGTACTGCGCTGAGTCTTTCTTGATGTAGAACAGGCTTTTGATCGAGTCTGGCACCCAGGACTGCTTTACAAACTCCGTAAATTCCTACACCCTACATACTTCCTCATTATCCGTTCCTTTCTAACTGATAGATCCTTCAAAGTAAATCATAATAATGCCTATTCATCCCTTTTTTCCCAGTCCGCTGGTGTTCCTCAAGGTAGTATCCTAGGTCCTATCCTTTACACAGTTTATACCGCTGATATCCCTACCCATCCTAACACTGTCATTACCACGTATGCCGATGATACATGTGTCCTATCAATTAATAACGACCCAACAATTACATCCCAAACCCTTCAATCACAAACCTTGAAGAATGGTTTCAAAACTGGAGGATCAAAATAACCTTTACCCTTCGTCGTAAACCTATGTCCTCTTGTCCTACAGTATCCTTTAATAATACCCCACTTATGCCTGTTGAACAAATTCGATACCTTGGACTCCACTTAGACAAACGTCTAACTTGGAATCCTCATACCAGACTGAAACGACAAGAAACAGCTCGACGTTTCCGACTACTCCAGCACTTACTAGACAAACGCTGTAAGCTCTCAGTCAATTACAAAAGACTCATATACATGACTACAATAAGACCTATTTGGACTTACGGAATTGAGCTCTGGGGCTCCACTAAGCCATCGAATTCCTCTCGTATCCAATCCTTACAATCCAAAATCCTTCGTAAAATCCTCACAGCTCCTTACTTCGTCACAAACAAAATCATCCATAACGACCTTAATGTTCCTTATGTTTCTAACCTGGCCTAATCCAGATACCTTTCCTTCCATAACAAACTTCACAACCATCCTAACCCTCTCGTTTCTAACCTTGCTTCCTTTTCGATCCCTGACAACCCTCCGAGGCGTCTGAAAAGAAGATGGCCTCGAGATCTCCTTTTGTAAATACATTTTTAGAGTGCTACCAGTGGGTAGTTTTTCAACAAATGATTTCATGCTATTATATTCTTTTTTTCACATTTACTGAATGTATTTTTACTTGTAATACAGTTGTAAATATCATCAATAAATAAAAAATAAAAAAGTTTCCGGTAAAAAAGCAATGACATTGTTTTTCCTCACTTACTCCATAGAAGTCATGAGGAAATTATACTAATTTGGATGATTTTTTTCCATTTTTGAAGATTTGAATTAAAAAAAAAGACTTTTTTACGAGTATTAGCGCAACATGTACTGTGCAAAATGTTTTATGATACTCGTCTTCCAACCAAGAAAACCACTTAAGAAGAATTGGATATCTGGAATAAGTTTAGAAGAATAAAACATGCTGAAGCAACTATGAATTATTCTTGATTAAAAATTCTTTTTTGTATAACAATAATAAACGTTTCTTTGAAAAATGATTAAGTAAATACTTATTTCATCAGCATTTAATATGGAAAAACATTTCTTCGAAAACATAATCATTCGGAAGAAAAAGTAACAGGATTAATTAGTGGTTCCAGGATTTAAATGTTTTTTATCATGTTATTATGTTTATTATGTCTAAATGTAGTTTAGTAAATCTAGTTTACTATTTTTTTTTATATTTAAAACACTTTATTCAGAATTATTACAATTTGTCACAGTTTAAGGACACTTATAATAGATTGCATTCATACCGTATATACAAAAATATAAATAAATAAAGTAATAACAAAAGAATAAGAAAAAAGAACACAAGAGTAAAGAAAAAAAAATATATATACACATAAGTAAATTAAAATAGAAATAAAAGTAAAACAAACACCTTATAAAAACATACCTATAACATTATTTACAATTAGCCAGGTGATCTCCGAACCAATCCTGTCCCCTCCACATGTGGAGGGAAAAGGGAGGCTTAGGAGATCCCTACGCTTCTCCCTCAGCCACTTCACTGGTATTTTAAACCAGCGGAGGATGAGTAAGAGCGCTACAGAGTTTACTATTAAGTAAATGATCGTAACCTAAATTAAACATTTTTTTAGTTATTTCTTTTAATTCAACATAAAAAGTGGTTGGCTTAAAAATTATAAAATTTAAGATTCCTGGTTCTATGTACGTGATCAGACCGTAGTTTATGATAATTAATGTCAATCTAAGCCTCATATCATTATCACGAAATTCCCCATTGGTTGATATCTAATATAATTCTGTTGTCAATGGCTTTTTAAAATCATTAAAAGAAAGAAACTTTTAATAATAATTTAAACGATATAAAATTTAAAATAAACTAATTAAACTTCAAAAAGGTATCGTCTACTATGAACGATATCAATTTTATCGTTAAAAATAATTTTGCTTAAAGTGGAAATACAATAAATATAATCTCATAAATATCTTCATAACCGTTGATTTTATCAAAATGTATAAGGCCATTTTTATAGAGATTTTAAAGTATTTTAATATTATACTAAACAATATTTGCAAAAAACCTCATAGATTTTGAGATATTCTCAAAAAAACAAAAAAAAAAAACAAGAAAACTATAAGTTTTTTATCTGTCCTTCTCCCCTCTTCCCCTATCAAAATTCCACACCGGATTCTTTGGGACTTTATACCAGTTATTATTTAGAGGGTAATAAACAATTTCTGACAAGTTTTATTTTTATTTTTTTCATGTTGGGATCAACCCCTTATTTTACTGGACTGTCATTCGTCGCCAGTTAGAATTGGGCCTGAGTGGGTTAAAATTCATTTCATATAACTCACGGAATGAATCTCGACATTCCCAGTCTAGTTAGAACAGGTTTTACCTCTAGAACAATAATAATAATAATGGTCTTATACATTTAAATATAAGCATGTCAGAAATGGAGAGGTTGGGTTGTCGAGAAAAAAAGGTAACAGGCAAGTTGAATTCAGTTTTTTATTTTACTACCTATACTAGGTAAGGAAGGTATTGCAATTGGGTCAAATTTCTGACATGCGGGTTTCGGCGGATCTATACGTTTCACAGCCCCTGAGTCCGAAAAACATATTTTTAGCCATTGGTCTGTCTGTCTGTCTGTTTGTGCCAAATTTTCTCGGGAACTACTGAACCGATTTTGTTGCTTCTTTTTTTATTTTGTTGGAATTTGATTACTAATTCCTGTGACAGAAATTTGTTGCTCTATGCGCAATACCTTGCGCGCAATAAATGAAAAACAACAAATCTTTTGTTTGATCAATTTTCATGAAAATAAACTTAGTTCAATTCTTTTCTGTTTCTTCATGAACGTATGTGAAGATATAAAAACTTTTCTGAAATAGGTAGAAAAGTCGTGTGAGTGGACACACCAGATATTACTTTCACTTACGTATTTATGAAATATATAGTAAGTGTAAGTATTGCGATCGTGAAAATTTTGGAGTCTCAGTTTTCAACGGAAATACATGTTTTGAGGTCCCCTGAGTCCAAATAACCAAGTGTCGCAAAATGGTCTGTGTGTGTGTTAACAGTCTAGCTCATAAACGAAAAGTAGTACGAAACTGATATTAAGTATTTAAGGTTTGTATATGGGCCGGATGTGACAGCAACTTTTTCGTTTAAATCGGCTAACCGGAAGTGCCACTTTATATGAACGCTGAAACACATTTTTACAATTTTCTCAAAAACGGCTCTAACGATTTTGATTAAACTTGGTGTATCATTGTATAATTAAGTGGTCGTTAATATCATTTAGGTCTTATTCCCGTTGATGTCACTTTACAAGGCTTAAATGCCGAATGTTCATATGCGTCTTCCTCTAAAGTACCTTTAATATGGTTTATTTAAAAAAATTAATCATCTCGAGTTATTCAGAGTTCAAAAAAAGTGCTAAATATAACTTTTGAAAGAATTTGATAAATTAATAAAGAAAAAAAAGAAAAATGCTTATCCGGGTCGAAAATGATCTCCGGAAATACCAATCATAAGGTATACGTATAATATACCGTTGGAAAGCTAAGACTTTTAGAAAAAACAATATCTAATATAGAAAATTGTAGAAGGTAAAGGAGAGTGGCAAAAAATATTATAAATAATAATGCCAGAAAACTAACATTATTTAACGTAAATCACATGTTTCCAAGGGAATTAAATGAAATATTCTTACTGTACAAAAACTTTTGATTAGAAAAATGTTTTTCTAAAATTTAAAAAAATATTTAAAGTCCACTGAATCAAGCCAATACTTGATTCATTGTACTAAATTGTATTGTACTATTGTACTAAATACCATTGTACCAAATACTATTTCATTGTACTTGTGTGAAAGCAGAAGTGAAATATAAAAATATTTCATGGATATCTTTATAACCTCAAATATATTTACTATAGAGTATTAACTCTAGATAAGATATTATATTTAAATAATAAATTATCGTAATTTTGTCTTAGTAAACTTTACAATGGATAATAATAGGTTAATAACTAATAATTCTACGAGGCATAATCATTTATAGATTAAATATTCAGATATACTTTCAAACCTCTGTAGGCATATATGAGCCTTTCGGTTGACAGAATGACTAACTCCAATTTCAACATTCTTTATTTTTAATTGTAGTGATGTTTCTAATGGTAAAATTTATGTCTTAATTCACAGTTCAATATTTCAACACTGCCATCACCTACTCCGGAATCAACTTACTGTCTGTATAGACAACTTTTTCGACTAGTAATATCACTAAAATTGCATTACTAAAAATTGTTGAAATTGGAGTTAGTCATTCTGTCAACTGAAATGCTCAGAGACTAAAGGTGTGTGGTTTATAAAAGTAGATGGAGTGACTAGATTTTTGTTGTCTACCGTCGATATTATAAATAGACTTTTTGTAATTATAATGGTCGTAATGATTTGTTATCTGTAAGCTTTAAGCTTTAGCTCCGTTTAAAATGCACTTCAAATATTTTACAATAGCCTAGCATTGCCAGAAAATAATTTCTATTCAAAGTTGAGCAGTAAGTGAAAGTTGTGTGTTGCCCGCACCAGATTTTTTTTAAGAACTCGAAAATGTTAATTAGTGGAAATTCCTTTATTCATTTGAATCTTTAATTTCCAAAAGAAATTAGATGGAACCTATATTGGACCATTTTGATACTATTCTACACCATACTACTTTGGGCCAAATCGAACGTTCTTTTTTTTTAAATGTAAGCATACAAGGACAACGTATTTGAGCATCTTTAAGTCAAGTAGAGAAATGAAATTTAAGAAATTTCATTTTTCCACTAATCTCTGACTTGCCTCAACTTTGGCCCAAATGGAATGATCCCTTTTTTAAATATGCTTTAATTAACATACATAAAAATAAAAATATAAAGCACTTTATTTGTTTTTTCACAAATATCTTTAAATAACTCTCTGAAACAACTGGAAAAGACTTTTTTTTTTCCCATGGAGGGAAAATATGGCCTCAACTTAAACCTGAAATTTTACACTAAAATTTCTAATATATTCTTTGAAAACAAAGAAATATAATATTTTTTGTGATAGAGTTAATTATTTTCAATCATATTTATTTTCGAATAAAGTACAACAGCGAAGTTATTAGAAAAAGAATGGTTTATTTTTAGCTGATATTTACCTACAAGCAAATATACAAGATGTATTGCTCATAAAAATGTATGTGACTGTAATTTTCAAGGACCATCCTTATTATGTGCTTGAAGCAGGAAAACAGGTGATTTCATAAGGTATTTGCAAGAAAAACTGACGTTTTATTCATTAGTTATAGAATTGAACGCAATTATTTCATTTTTATTTTATATTAAACGCCTAAGAGTTCGTTTACAATAGTTTAGTTTTCCTCTTACATTATGAAACACATTGACAGGAAACCGAAATCAGTTTCACATTCGTAACCAAATCAGTTGTTTCATTGTCTTTAAATTTCATATGAATATTTTTTTAAACCGTCTAAATTTCACTCGTGTAAGAATTTAAAAAAAACTCTATCAAGTAAAGTAGTATAGCTTTCTCACCGTTTTCATTGTATATTACAAGGTATACAATTTTTCGTATGAGAATAAAATCTCTGGGAGAAGCCGATTCGGAAATACAGTTACCCTTCAACATTCAACAAAAGAGTGCCGTATTTGAAGATTCCATATTTCATTATCCTTAATAAATAAGAAAAAAATAAATAAATAAAAGATGCATACTGAACACGAATTTCAATAATGTTAGTGCAAAAAGTCTTATCTAAAAATTTATTGTTTTATAAGAGTGCATAAAAACTCATTATTTCTTTATGCTTTATTAGTATAGTTTCATATTTTATTGTCATCTGCTATTTTTCATAGTTGCAGACTACAAAATGTCACCTTTAATACAAATAGAATAGAAGTCGAAAATTTTTACATACGACCTTTTGCACTAATAGTAGTGATATACACTAGCGGATCCAGATTAAATTTTGGGGGAGTGGAGGAGCTTCAGCACGAAAGATTTTTTTTTCATATACACATAACGATAATTAATATGAAAAAAAAAACGCTGCAAATTATTTACAATGGTTTATTATTTCCAAACAATTATACATACATTTAATAAAATTCATATGGGAACATATAGACACCAACCCGCACAATTCCTGAAAATTTCATAAAAATCGGATAAACGTTAGTAGGTGATATGCCCGTTACATCAATTTGACTACAGACAGACAGACACCGAACCAAATTTGATCCTTGATGTCTGAAACGTAAAACGCGAGTGGAAATTTTCGATTCTAAGCCAAAAAAAATTTAATCTCTCGCACGAATACAATGCTTTCCTACCTTGGGTAGTGAGGAAGCAACAAAATATTTTATTTCTTGATGTTTATTTATTTTTAACATTTTTGGCGGAGTGGGGTAGCTCATTGAGTAAGATGCTCTTTTGCTCCAAGTTTGGGATTCGTACCAGCTATGACTTTTAATTATTATTCTGTTATATCAACCGATGATCGAGGCGGGGGTATAGAGGTCCCAGGGGCAAACCTATCCTACACAAAGTGGGTACTGTAAATTAGCTTGTTGTTAAAGAGACAATATTTAAATTTCCTATATATACATATATATCCACGACTTAGACCGTGTTACAGCATAAGCACTTAGTGCATGAGGGCGGGGTGGCCGAGCGGCTTAACGGTTGTGCAGCACCGCGCGTTGCCCGGCAACTTGATGACCGAAGTTTTAGATAAAAAGTAACTAACTAACTCCATGGCGCTACAGACTTGTGTGGTCCTTGGCCGCCTCAATGATCCCTCGCCAGATGGCTCTATCTTGCGCAGTCGCTCGCCAGTTCGGGTATGCAATACTTCTCTGGAGTCCGGATGACGGCGTCCTCCTATCTTAGACGTGGTCTGCCCTTCCCTCTTATCCTGCAGAGCTTCGCATCAAGCAACTTCCTTTTGACTTCCTCTTCTGGCATTCTGGCCACATGGTCAGCCCAACGTAGTCGCCCAAGCTTGATGCACCTCAACCCTGTCTCCCTGTCCAGTTCATATACAAATCTATCTCTCCATACAGATCATATAGGTCCCTG